CGTTTGGTATATGTTGTTTGCCTTGTTCCTGGGCAAATTTATTTTCTTTTGCAAAATAGTGCCACGGCAGTGCCGTGCTGCCGTGGCGGCCACTACGGCCCTGCAATGTATGCTTACTGATTCAAACTCATATGCAAGGATATTACCTAAACTTACTAGTTCAAGTAGTCAAGGTCTTCTGGTATTTCAAACTGCTTGTTTAATACACTTTCTTCTAATCCAAACTTTTTTTTCGCCCAGGTTTTTAGTGAGAATATATTATCTGCAAGAGAAAAACGACATCTACATATATCGCTGATTACTCATATGCAGTATAATTGCTAAATAACAAAGTTAATTTTTACTCAACCGTGCTGGTTTGAAACGTACCGCTGACGTTTCGCCTCCTGTCAGGAAGCTTTCTCAAAGCAAACTGATGTTAATCAGTTTTGACCACCAAATTCATTCAGAATTGCAAGTGAAAATAGATTGTGGGGTTTAACAGAAATCTTCATGAGAAACTGACTTACCAGTCCACCTGTTTGCGGCTTCTTTTGAAACTATGATTTGCTGTTTGGTCTCTTCTAGAACTTCTGGGTCACACTCCCTATGACGCTCCAAGTCGGCATGTAACTGATCTCTCTCTCCTCCCCTTTCTGCAAGACTTTTCAGCGACTTTGTTCTTTTCTCCTATAGGATCGACAACCCTTATTTTAATTTATCTTTAAATCTTTTATCTCTATCTTTAGTTTGTATCTTAATTAAGCAAGGTAATACGACTCACGGAAGAGAAAAACAAGCTTGGAAATTTTATCCAAAATCAATGCATTGTACAGTCAACACTAATCTCTGTACAACACCAAACTTAGCGATTCTGCTTAGATTCTTGTTTCGATACCCGATTACAAATGCTTTAACACAAGAGGACTGTTAAATAACTTTTCATGCCTCACAATAGCATATATATATTGATGAACAATCAGATATGAATAACTGATAATTAACAGGACGAATAACAGGAGATAAATGATGAGTAGGTTGCTAATATGAATAGGCGACCCTATAGATACAAGTACAATAATAAGAAAATTCATGTTTTCATATCTGATTGTAACTCACTTGCTAGCATATTACTTACACTGTCCTCTCGTCCAACTCTACTTTCACTCAATGTCATCTCACACACTTTCTTCTTCCTTTCTGTGTCCTCTAACTTACTCGTGATTTCATCCATTTTTCTTTTCCTCTGCAATAAAAAAGGCCCACAACATGTGTATATATAATATGTGTTTTACTTACAGTGCAAGCTTGCATGATATGTGACAGTAAACAGAACTCCACATTTGCTACGTGCTTACGTTATTTAGTGCTTTGCTGGGAAAGGCCCAGAAATAGACAGATGTACCAATCTTCTCAGAGTCCACCATGCCATCATCAACAAGACTCTGCACTACCTCCTTCACTGACATGGAAGTAATGCCCTTTTCTTTTGGACCGATCTTTTCCAACTCTTTTAGCTGGAAACAGTCTTTCTGCAAAATCACCATAATACCGCAAATACGCCATAAATACGCAAAATCGCAAAAATTGAGATAAACACCTTATTAACCTGCTTACTTTATACATTTAAATTCCATTTATCGTGGATTATATTTAAATAATAAGCCAGATTGAGGCGAACTAGGTTACTATAACGCCATCACACCACAGAAAACACATATATAATCGAGCATGTCCTTGTCCGCCAAGCAATTTAGGGACAATTTTGTCTCTGATTTGTTATACCTTTCTGCTAAACGTAATTTCTATAAGTGTAAATAAAGTGATTGAATGATTAAACCTTTAAATTTAATGACAGATTAATTCGGTTTAAACGTCCTGCGTAAAATCAGCACAGGACTCTCATATTCGATTCATGAAAACAAAATGTTTTTCTTATAAATTTCCTACTTTCTCAAAGAATATCTCCATCATCCTTATTCTTTTCTCTTCAGCACTTAAGCCACGTTTTTTCGACTGAAAATGAGAAAGAACATGTTAAAATTTATTTTATGCTTATCAGTGTTGTAGGTCTAGAGGCCGGTCTTGGCCTCGAGACCGTTTTCCTTGGTCTCGGTCTCGGTCTTGGCCTCGGAGTGCAATGACTCGGACTCGGACTCGATCTCGATATTATAACACGATATAAGTTATAAATTAAAACACATAAAAATGTATGTATAGGTTAATTAGGTTTTATGTATTTAGTTTACCAAAACTTGAAGTTCGTCGAATCCTCTCGCGCCATTGACTCTTGGTTTACACGTCAAGCTGGCTACTTGTGTAATGGTCCTCCGTAACCGGATGGTCCGATCGAGGCGCCAATGATGAGCGGCTTACGCGCACCGGCGTTTCTAGATCAAAAACGTAAATAGACGTGAAACTTCTCATATTCATGCCATACACTGCCTATTAAGAACTGCAGTTCGTTGCCTAAGCTTTATCTACTATAACTATGGTAAGAACTCGACTACAATTTGTGTATAGATTGTATCTTGTATCTTTTGGTCCCTCTCTTGTATTTCACAAGGCACTGATAGTGCTTCTGGTACAAGTAGCGTTTACACACCCATGTCGTGAGTTTGGTTAGGGTTAGGGTTACGCGGCTATGGGTTTTTTAAACCCTGTGGGGGCCGGTTGTCAACTAGGAATGGCCGTGATTCTCCGTCTTTAGAACTGCTGCAGGGACAATCCCCTGGCTAGGCTGTAGCCTACAGGATTCAGTGTTGTAGTCTGTAGATGTAGTCGAGTCCGCACGGCGCCCCGAGTCCGGAGTCCGAGTCGGCCCCGAATACCGCACCCCCGAGGTCCGAGTCCGAGTCCCCGCCCACCGATGTTCCGCGGACGTCGCGAGTTCCGCACTTCCCCGGGCGACGTCGCGGAGTCCGCGAAAGTCCGCACCACCGTCGGGCCCGGCCGCCACCCCCCCCCCCACCCCCCCCCCACCCCCACCCCACCACCCCCCCCCCCCCCCCCCCCCACCGGCCAACCCCCCGCCCCTTGGTCACCCCCCCCGCCCCCCCCGCACTCCCCGCCCTGCCACCACGCCCTCGCCCCCCGCCCGCCCACCCCCCGCGCACGGGCGGGCGCCCGGCCAATGGGAGAAGCCGGTACTCCGCCGTAACAACAGGTCGAGTTTGAGTCCACAACCAAGCCACAGACGTCGCGAGTCCGATCCCGCACCCCCCAAGTACGAGTTCGAGTCCGAGCCCGCACTCCGAAGTCCCGAGTACCGATGTCCATTTTGATTAAAAAAAAGGGAGGAAAAATGCGGAAAAACGGGAAAAAGAGGAAAAAAATCGGCAAAAATCCTTAACGAGCCACTTGAAAACGTTACACGCAGATTAGGCCGTGTATCTAGAAAACGCTAGGAGTTTTTACGTTTTTATACATTCTTTGTAACACTGCGTGCGTTACACGATATGTACACGTTGTGTACTATGCTATGGCGTAATCGGCCTCGAGCCGGCCTTGGACCGC